TGGAGAGCTGGGTGGGGGGGGTGGGACCAGACCATACAGAGGTAAGGAGGCCGGAGAGTAGGGTGGGGGGACCTGACCTGAGTGCAGAGTGTAGCAGCTGGCATGCAAAGGCCTTTTGAATCAGTAGAATGAATGAAAGGGTCTCCATCACCACTTCTTATTGAACAGGAAACGGAGTGCACTGAATGAATGGTGCTGGAGGAATTGATTATCTGGGCTTAGGGTAGGAGCCGGGGAAGATCCTGGTTGGCTACAGCAGGGGGCTGGTAGTTCTGTGGGATCGGGATTCCAGGAAGGTGGAGCATCTCTTCTTGGGGAACCAGGTGAATAATTCTTATGTTGTGGGTGCTGTCATCGAGTTCATGATGGAGGAATTTGTTACCACCGGTTGGCAGGAAGGGGGGCGGGGTTAACTTCAGCCAGTGTCTTTTTTAATTGGTGAATTGATTCCAAAATGCCTTCTTCTCTTTGCAGCAATTGGAGAGTTTGTATTGGGAGAGCAGCGGGACGTTGTTTGTCAGCTCTCACAGCGACGGAGGGTACATGGTGTGGGCTGTCGGCAATAATTCCTCCTCCACGTCCCAGCCGATCACCTCCACTATTCCGTATGGTGAGTGCCATTCATAGAGTGCAGCTTGTGAGGATTAAAGTGACCCTGTGTCCAGACTATGGGCATATGTATTCCATATTGTTAAAGCTGAACTCCGGCTTTATCTTTTATCCCGCACTTGTACCAAGTCCTCTCCGGTGTTGAAGCTGATTACTCTCAATTCCCTGCAAACTTGCATCTCCGCAATATAACCCTTTGAAGATGCAGCAGCTATCTTAAACCCACCTTCATTTCCTGTCTGAGGGATGTCAGTCGTCATAAGTCACATTATTTAATCGACCCTCCTAGTTCTCATCTTGGGAGCACAAAGTGATTCGTGTCCATGTTGTGTCAATGGGAGAGTGAGTGGGTTTGAGTAGTTTAGCAAAAGAAAACTGGGCGGGGCTGACACCACAAAACGGCTCCTGTATATATGTTTCACCCGTGTACTAGCGGTTTGCTTGCAGTTCGGCGTTAATAAAGTTTGACGCATACGGTCGCATACGTTTCCACTTGTGCTAATTAGAGGATGTTAATATTTTATCTGTGAACAATAAAAATTAAATCTGTTACGCCCATCGGAGGTTGAGGATTTCTGTTGTCTGTGAATTCCTGGTGTCCTCTGACTGAACTTGGACTGGAATTCCTAAGCATGCAGAGCTCTTATCAGGAGCTATCCGAGGCCTCCCCGTCCTCTGAGGCCGGACCTGTGCGAGAAACGCAGAATCTCCACACAAATCTGAGACGCCAACCGCTAATTACACCCGCCAGCATTTTATTTTGGACGCTTCATCTGGCACCAAAATTCTGGAAGCGCGCCAACCGGAATGTAACAGACGCTGCCGCGTCCAGTGTGAGTCCCGGGATCATATGGATTTCTGTGATTTGATTTAATAAATGGTTTCATTGGGCTTTGGGCCCATAACAGTGAATGGAGTTTGCATGCAAGCCTTAATAGGACTACAAATCCCATCATGTCTGTGACTGCCAGTCTTGCAGTGCCTCATGGGACTTGGAGCTGGAGTGCCCAGGTTGCCTACCCTGCTCTATAGCTTTTCCCAGTGTTAATGTGTCACATCTAGCGGCCTGTATGCGAGCTCTGTACATTTTTAAAGCTGACCTCTGGCCTTCCCTTCAGTCTTCTATCTGGCCTTCCCTTCAGTCTTCTATCTGGCCTTCCCTTCAGTCTTCTATCTAGCCTTCCCTTCAGTCTTCTATCTAGCCTTCCCTTCAGTCTTCTATCTAGCCTTCCCTTCAGTCTTCTATCTAGCCTTCCCTTCAGTCTTCTATCTAGCCTTCCCTTCAGTCTTCTATCTAGCCTTCCCTTCAGTCTTCTATCTAGCCTTCCCTTCAGTCTTCTATCTAGCCTTCCCTTCAGTCTTCTATCTAGCCTTCCCTTCAGTCTTCTATCTAGCCTTCCCTTCAGTCTTCTATCTAGCCTTCCCTTCAGTCTTCTATCTAGCCTTCCCTTCAGTCTTCTATCTAGCCTTCCCTTCAGTCTTCTATCTAGCCTTCCCTTCAGTCTTCTATCTAGCCTTCCCTTCAGTCTTCTATCTAGCCTTCCCTTCAGTCTTCTATCTAGCCTTCCCTTCAGTCTTCTATCTAGCCTTCCCTTCAGTCTTCTATCTAGCCTTCCCTTCAGTCTTCTATCTAGCCTTCCCTTCAGTCTTCTATCTAGCCTTCCCTTCAGTCTTCTATCTAGCCTTCCCTTCAGTCTTCTATCTAGCCTTCCCTTCAGTCTTCTATCTAGCCTTCCCTTCAGTCTTCTATCTAGCCTTCCCTTCAGTCTTCTATCTAGCCTTCCCTTCAGTCTTCTATCTAGCCTTCCCTTCAGTCTTCTATCTAGCCTTCCCTTCAGTCTTCTATCTAGCCTTCCCTTCAGTCTTCTATCTAGCCTTCCCTTCAGTCTTCTATCTAGCCTTCCCTTCAGTCTTCTATCTAGCCTTCCCTTCAGTCTTCTATCTAGCCTTCCCTTCAGTCTTCTATCTAGCCTTCCCTTCAGTCTTCTATCTAGCCTTCCCTTCAGTCTTCTATATTCCCTTCAGTCTTCTATCTGGCCTTCCCTTCAGTCTTCTATCTGGCCTTCCCTTCAGTCTTCTATCTGGCCTTCCCTTCAGTCTTCTATCTGGCCTTCCCTTCAGTCTTCTATCTAGCCTTCCCTTCAGTCTTCTATCTAGCCTTCCCTTCAGTCTTCTATCTAGCCTTCCCTTCAGTCTTCTATCTAGCCTTCCCTTCAGTCTTCTATCTAGCCTTCCCTTCAGTCTTCTATCTGACCTCCCGGCCTTCCCTTCAGTCCTGCACAGTTGTGCCAGCTCCTCTTCTGGGCTGAAATGTCTTACTCCGATTTCACCGCACACTGCGAGCTTCTCACAATGTGCATTAGAAGCTGCAGCAAGTCAGAGCCCGCCTCCTTTCCTGGCTGCAGGACCTCCAGCATCATCTAGCGCTGGACTGTCCCTGGCCCCGCCCCTTTCATTTATTGGATTTCAATTCTTTCAATAATGGAGGTTCAGCATCACATGTGGGTGTTACCCAGGGCGCTCTGCATGCAAATGTCTGCCTAGGAACGCCCACTCCTCCAGACTGACACGCGCCCATCAAAGCATTTTTATATTTGCATAACTCCCACTGATTGCTCCAGGGCTGTGGGCCAGCCATGATCTTCCCACCAGCCATGATCTTCCTGCACTGCATAGAGAAGTGTAGAGATCCAGTGATGTCACTGGATTTTGTTTTTTGGATTTGTTTTTTATTACATATTTAAAACCATCACAACAATGTTAGGGGGGGGGGGGGGGGCAAGCAGGGGAAAAACAAATATAAGCCAGTTTAAATTTCTTTTTTAAAAACCTTTTTCAAGTAATGGTAAACCTTCCTCTTTTTATTTTTCCCTCAGGTCCGTTCCCGTGCAAAGCGGTCAACAAAGTTCAGTATCTATCCAGCGGCTCTGGGTATGTTCAAGTTTCTATTTATTCTTATTCTTCTTATTCTTATTCTTATTCTTCTGTCGAAAGAACACCGGCTTCAGGTTCCGAGGCAGCTTGGCTTCCTGACCAATCAGGAAGCTGGGCGGAGGGTCATGACTTGCCGCCCGGCTTCCTAATTGGTCAGGAAGTCAGGCTGCCAAGCAACAAGTGAAGCAAGCTTCCTAGCCAATCAGGAAGCTGGCAGGCGGGTCATAATCTGCTGCCCCGCTTCCTGATTGGCCGTGAATCTGGCTCCTTGCTGCCTCCCGGAAGTTTTGATATCGGGAGTAAGTACCGGAGCATTTGTACGAGTATTCGGCAAAATACTCAATCAGGACTGATACTAGTATTGGTACCAGTGCATCTCTTGTTATAACCCATATGTTTTTTGCCATCTGTGTCCCATTGGGGAGATTTCCCTTTGCTTCCTGTCTGATAGCCAGAACGGGAAGTGAAGGAAATCCCTGGTGGTCATCAGAACTAGTGTCCCTACTGGAAGATTTCCCAGACTTTCAGTGATGACGGTCACCAGGACAAACGGGGAGGGTAAATCTCCGTAACAGGGACTTTATACATCTCTCCGTAACGGGGACACAGACATCAATAAAAACCTGACGGGTTCGAATCCCTCTCCACTTTATTCAACACTAAAGATACTTTTGGCTTCAGTTGCACTTTATATCTGGTGTGTAGTTGAACCCCCGAGGCTAAGTGTATCGGAGAGCTCTTCATAAGTGCAATTTGATGACTGCAATTTAGATGAGAGGAAGTCTTGTATGAAATGTGTTAATGAGATGATCAGAGCATTCTGTGGCCACTTTCATGCCGTGATGATGAGGCAGTTATGGGCTTAGTGACAGGTTTGTTATTTTAAAGGAGTTTTAGAGTCCCAGCATATCCCTCCTGTTATAACCTCAGCAGTCCCAGCATATCCCCTCCTGTTATAACCTCAGCAGTCCCAGCATATCCCCTCCTGTTATCACCTCAGCAGTCCCAGCATATCCCCTCCTGTTATCACATCAGCAGTCCCAGCCTATCCCCTCCTGTTATCACATCAGCAGTCCCAGCATATCCCCTCCTGTTATCACATCAGCAGTCCCAGCATATCCCCTCCTGTTATCACATCAGCAGTCCCAGCATATCCCCTCCTGTTATAACCTCAGCAGTCCCAGCATATCCTCTCCTGTTATCACCTCAGCAGTCCCAGCATATCCTCTCCTGTTATCACCTCAGCAGTCCCAGCATATCCTCTCCTGTTATCACCTCAGCAGTCCCAGCATATCCTCTCCTGTTATCACCTCAGCAGTCCCAGCATATCCTCTCCTGTTATCACCTCAGCAGTCCCAGCATATCATCTCCTGTTATCACCTCAGCAGTCCCAGCATATCCTCTCCTGTTATCACCTCAGCAGTCCCAGCATATCCTCTCCTGTTATCACCTCAGCAGTCCCAGCATATCATCTCCTGTTATCACCTCAGCAGTCCCAGCATATCATCTCCTGTTATAACCTCAGCAGTCCCAGCATATCCTCTCCTGTTATCACCTCAGCAGTCCCAGCACATCCTCTTCTGTTATCACCCCAGCATATCCTCTCCTGTTATTAGATCCGCAGTCCCAGCATATCCTCTCCTGTTATTAGATCCGCAGTCCCAGCATATCCTCTCCTGTTATTAGATCCGCAGTCCCAGCATATCCTCTCCTGTTATCACATCTGCAGTCCCAGCATATCCTCTCCTGTTATCACATCTGCAGTCCCAGCATATCCTCTCCTGTTATCACATCTGCAGTCCCAGCATATCCTCTCCTGTTATCACATCTGCAGTCCCAGCATATCCTCTCCTGTTATCACATCCGCAGTCCCAGCATATCCTCTCCTGTTATCACATCCGCAGTCCCAGCATATCCTCTCCTGTTATCACATCCGCAGTCCCAGCATATCCTCTCCTGTTATCACATCCGAGCGGTGACACCAGGAAGTGAGTGAAATGGTGTCAGTCCATTGAGGAAGTACGTCCTATGGGCATCTCTTATAAGTAAGTGTACAAACTTCTTAAACTCGATTCACTCAGGGGCCACTGGACAAATGTTTTTCCCCATGGGGGCCGCTTGCCAAATCATACATGCACGCCCCACAACCAGAACTACAAACCCTAATATACACCTACAATAAGACTTCATTTACACCTGTAAGTTTAGGTGCGATTAGGAATCCCTGGCCCAGGAACTTGAGTTTTCCTGCAGCAGGGATCCCTAATCTGGCATTTACAAGTGGCAAATGTCACCTATTCAGGTCAATGATCATGTGACAGCCGCTGCATGTAAACGCCTGCACGCCACATGTAATGGTATGTGATATGATTACATGAGGTTTAGGTGGCTGCAGATGAGGAGGAGAGCTCTGGGGGCCCCTGTATGTTCTGTCTTCGGTCACTTCCTACACCTGGTTCCCCAAATTTGTCCCTCAGCCAAAACAACAATTGCTGTCCAAATCCTGTTTTTGCACGAGCCGGTCTGTGTTCTGTGCATTGTGTATGACGTACACAGATCCAGCTGCTTTGACATTTCCTGCTGCAGTATTGTACAGTATTCTTTGTCCAGTGTTCCTGCTATGCAACTGTACCGTTTCCTTTGTGTCCAATGTTCCTTCCTTTTCTCTCCTCTCCAGGAACCACTTCATCATCTTCAGCGGGGGAATGCCTCGAGCCAGCTACGGGGACCGGCACTGTGTCACCATCATGCAAGGGAAGAGCCTGGTCACCCTAGACTTCACCTCTCGGGTCATAGACTTTTTCACCGTATGTCCCCTCAAGAGTGCTGATGGTACGAACTGCGGGCAGATGGTACATGAGCGGGCAGAGTTTCCAGGTTTATGAAGGCCTCATGAGGCAGAGATGGATTCTCATTGGCTGTTGTGGCTTGGTGATCACTGCTCCTTTTTGTTATAGAGCAAGGATAGGTGAACTCTGGCCCTGCGATGGAACTACAAATTCCATTGACCCCAATTGCTGCGATTTCCCCCGTGGTTTTTATCCCTGTGACACCTGCACCTCTTATTGTATGGGTGTCACCTTGGACACCAGTGAAAACATTGTACAAAATTCTACCCTTTCCTCACTTTTCTAAAAAGAATTGGTGTCCTCGAATACAAGAAGAAACTTTTTTCCTGAGCCTCAGGAAGGTTCTGATTTGCAGTAGCTACTTTTTGCCTCTCTGGTTCTTATTTGTATTAAAAAATTGTATTAATTTATTACAGAATTCAAAAGTGTTACACATGGCTGAAAACAAGTTGCACAACCCCCATCATTATGAGTGTACAGGATGGGGGTTGTGCTACTTGTTTTCAGTCACGTGTAACACTTTTGAACTTTTGTAATTTAATCAAATTGTTTTGTGATTTACTTTTTGCCACTCCGATCCTTTTGATACTTTTTCTCACTCCGATCCTGTGAGATACTTTTTCTCACTCCGATCCTGTGAGATACTTTTTGCCACTCCGATCCTTGAGACTCAGGAAATGTTTCTTCTTGTATTCTAACCAAGTTACAGATTGAGTATCACAAATAACCACCTATTTCCGGTGGAGAAGGGGTTAATCTAAGTGGTTGTGTCTCTGGATAAGTATATGGTTTTGTTCTCCATTGAAGAGACTTCCTATTACTTCCTGTCCTGAGAGGAAATGAGGCAGAATCCTTCCAACAGGGACAGGTATAGCAACAACCTTGCAGAGACTTCAGCTGTTCCTGCTCTATCCAAAACAGAAACAAATATTCTTGGCTGGAGTTGTGCTTGAAGGCCTCATTCACAATGCCGTACAATACGCTGCGTATAGATGTGCGCAGCATATTTTTTTTTTTCCCATATGCAGCATATGTAAATAAATGGCTCCATACATAAACCTGCGTATGAAGCCATATATGTGCGCTGCGTAAAGATGCTAAAAAAAAAAAAACTGGACCTGAGATGCGTCCAGGCTCCGCATTTCTGTGTATTTTACAGGCATATATGCGTGTGTACCTGCGTACAGTGCATTAAAATTTCTATTCAGAATAATGCATACAGTGTACGTATATACGCAATATACAATTTTGCTTTTGCGTTGTGTGTGCATGAGACCTAAAAGTGCACGTAATTCCGAACAATGAATCCTTTATTTTTGTTCCATTTTGGTTATAATACAACATTGACTGTTTTTTGGCGGATCTGTTCGTGAAGTTCATAAAACCCCCAAAAACCCTGTGATCTGCCAGAAAGGCAGGGAGGTTGTAACTTCCTTTTGTTGTCTGCCTGTGTTGCGCTGATATCTCTTGCAGTGTTATCATCCGTACTTATTCGCCTCTGAGAACTGCAAAACACCCCGCATGTTAAGAGAGGTGTTCTGTAGTCCTAGAGCACCAATGCTGCTCCTCCAAAGAGTACAGTGAGTGTTGTCACCCTAGGACAGGAAGTGTGTTACTGGCAGGGTCACCAAGTGCAAGTAAAGGAAGGTGCCTGGAAAAAAATAAAATGAATGCAGCCACCACTTCTTCTAAGGCCTGCTAAGCCGCAGTATATTTTTGTTCCTAGATTTTAGGGCTGCGGAAATGAACAATTAATTTCTCTATTAATCGTTAAACTTTTTGATCGATTTAAAATTCTTTTGATCGTTAATGAAAACACTCACCTCTCCGCCGGCTTCCGGGAGTCCCGTCGGAGATCCGGTGACATCACCGGACTCCTCCCCCTTCCCCAAGTGGCTTCGTCGGCTAACGAAGGGAAGGGGGGGTGGAGGAGTCCGTGACGTCGATGTCCGTGACGTCACCGGACTCCTTCCCCCCCCCCCC